TAATCCATTCCAGGGTGGCGTTTGTATCTCGAACAATTCGTATCTCGAAGCAAGTTTTACATGTAAAACGCAGAATCCCTTTAACAGCTCTCAGAAACATCAGAATAAGTAGATGAAAAAATGGAAAACCAGATAAAAATAAAGTAACGTTTCTTCAATCCTTAAATCTAAACATTGTTAATGTAATAAATGATAATAAAACAGAATAAAACACAAGCAAAATACGTAATACGTACACAAATGTGAAACCTTACCTTGAGAGTGAAGTGATGTTTCTGAGGAGGTGGAACGGAAGGCAGAAAACTCTACGGCACCACGTATGAAAGTTAACGAGTTCTCAAGATATTTCACGAATTACTGACACCAACACGGTTTCAAACAGAAGCGGAGAGAATACAGAGGCTGTGAGAAGGGATGGAGAGAGCGCTTCTGTGAACGCGCCACTGGGTTTCTCTAGCTTGAGCTACAGAACAGCACTTTCCACGTTATAAATGTTATTTCTTTTACGACACCTTGACTCTAACATTTGTTATAGCAATCAATACATAATGTTTCACTTAATTTAAAACAGATTTAAAGTGTTTTAAAGCGTATCGGACCCTTTAGCACTGTCTGCAATCAGAGAATGGAGCACCAGGATTGTCTCGACCAAAGTTTCCACTGTTATGTCATGAAATGTCTGGTAAGTCTAGAAATGGTATTCTCTAATATAAACTTGATCTATGTGATGGGTTTGGTATCCTTTGATCCACTGGGCAGGAAAAATGAACTTGGCATTGGGGAAGGTTCACAAGTCATTGATTTTAGCTATAGCTTTATGCACAGATCATTTTACCTCCTGCCCATCCAATGCAGCCCCGGGGACCAGAGAACAGAAATCACAAAACAGATTCTGCTTCAAGGACTCCAGCACCATAGCCACGATTAATTATGTGTCTTGGCAGGCATTCTGTTTGGGGCTTTGAAATATCTTGATGGACGTTGTAAGGAAAATGGGACAAGAGGCTGACAGGGCCTGAGGTGCGTGCTTGAGAGCTTGCGTGCTATTGCTCAAGCCTCATCTGAATAAGTGCAGTCTGAATGATGGCTGAGGAGGACCATTAAACTGTCCTGTTTAAATCCATCCTATTTACTGCTATAAACCAAGATGAGAGTCCTCTTTAAGCTGAACGAGCCACACCTTATAACAGCGCAGCCTGATTCATTGTCAAACCCCAGGCCAGAACAATGCACTCAATGTGAGTCTGTGTACATTTTGACCAGCTGCACACTGGCTGTGTTCTTCATTCAATTGAACTGTGAATTTGATTACAAATTGATTATTTATATGCCCGTCAAATACCCATTGCCTCTACTGTTTTAGCCAGATGTTGTCTGTCTTCATTTATTACAGTTTATACTGGCGCAGATTGGCGAGAAAGACACGGACACACTGGCACTGTTCACTGCGCTTTTAATAAAATGGCGCACCAAACAAATAATAAAAAATCACTCAGCGGCTTCGTGGAGAAGGTGGTGGGCAGGCAAAACAAGCCCAGCTTGAAATATGTGCGGTTTAGCGCTCAACACGGTCCTCCAGGGGACAGGAAACCGGCCCCAGTGACTCCACTGGCCTGATGGCCACACTCAAGTTCCGGGCGGTGGGCACCTCCTGGGCTCCTTCGCCTCCCGTGGCTCTCGTGACATCCATCGCTGCTCCCGGTGCAAAGAAAAGAGGGAAATGGTCCCTCTTTTCCTGCATGCTAAACTCACCTTGTTTGCCAGTTGTGTCGCACTTAAATGCTCGCATTCTGATGTGTCCCACCTGGCAACGCTGACACTACCTCGCTACAATATGTTTTATTACCGCCTTGGGTTCTTTGTCAAGGATTTCATATTCTTTAATTCCTCTTCCTTAGCCGCTTATTCCATTTCGGGGTCATTGGGGTCTGCTGCTCCAGCTCACTTTGGGCGAGAGGCGAGGGTACACCCTGGACAGGTCGCCAGTCCATCACAGAAGGATTTCATATCTTTGTGAAAATGAGATTTGAAATTGCAGTTTTTTAATGAGGCAACAATAGTCATATGAATTATTAATAACTTTATAATAGATAAAAATTTATAACAGATTCACTGAATTTCAGCATACCACTGCCTTGTCTGCTGGTACTTCAATAAACACAGTTTATATAACGTTGTTGTCTTGTCTCCTGTGTACAGTCACCCCAGAATTGTGACATCGTAATAACACAAATGAGATTCAAATTTACCCCAACCCACCCCTTACTGCCGGAGAAGATCCGGGAGACACATAAATAGCATAATAGCATTTATAAAACTATTGACGCAACCTAGAATGTTCACTTAATTTATTTTAGAACCAAATGAATCATTTGATGCTTGCGTGAGTTGAATGAAATGAAATAAAATGAATGAAATAAACTTTATTTGTCACATACACTGTTACATGCAGTGTACATAGGACCCCTCTGGCCACAGACAAAGACAATATGAGGACAGGCCAGTGTTGAGAGGTAGCATTTGAGAAATGAACAGAGAAATGGGTATACATTGGGTAAGGTAGCTCAAAAAGAGCCTTTTTCGCACTGTCCTTCAGAGGGCAGTGTGTAGCAGGTTAAAAAAAGCCATTGCAACCAAGCACATATAGACATAATACAGGAAAAACATTGCAACAGCTGATTTCCTGCTGCCATCAACCGCGCTGTACTCATGGCCCGGTCAGATTACAGCGGTTGGGAGACCCAGCGAAGGTGTTGTGAGAACGAGCGATGTGGAGGGTCTCGTTATCTCGCCCTCTCAGGGGAATTTTGACTCCTTTTGTGGCCTCCAAGGCCAGAGGAGATAACGGAAAGCCAGATGAGAGAAGTTAATTTGGGTCAAAAACTGTAAATTTGCGCAGATTTTTACTGTCCATCACTGGTCTCCTTTTTATCCAACATCCATTGCATAGCTGTCAGTCTCTCCACGATGACATCAAGTTTGCGGTCACAGACCATTAAATGAGTCCTGACAGCTTTAAGTCCAGTTAACATTCCATTCCAGCCAGTCAGCTTAGTGGGGTTTTGAGCACTGACCACCTTTGATAGTCGCAGATAGCCGAGAGTTCCACATATTCTGATTAGCAGAAAGCCAGTTATCACAGGTCTAATTAGATAAATGTCTTCGACATCCTCCTGGGACAGAGTGGCCAGGCACACAATCCTCCATTCACCCAGGAGTCCATCGTGTAGCCAGCAGAGAAAGTTCCTGCAGGACAGGAGGGTCCCCCCTGAACCCATGCACCTTGTCGAACAAATGGTATCAATTGCATTCAGAGACCGGTTGATCAGATCCATAGTTCCTTTTATTTGGAGTTAATATTGAGCTAATCAGCTGCTGCTGCTGTAGCATCATTTGTAGAATATATTGCCTTCTAGTTTTCACATCCAAACTCCACCCTTTTACAGCTATCCCAGGCCCCAGAACAGATTGGCTTTGATGCTTAAAATTGTCACAAAATCTGCTTGTCCAGCCTTTGAATTGAATTAACGTGGAAACTAAGTTATTATCACAAATAGGAAATTGCTGCAGTGCAATACGGCAAGTCTCAGACATGTTAGCACTTTACCTTTGCAAAAGAGGAAACGTCAAGGTTACACCAGAGAACTTCAGAACTTGCTTGATCTTTGTTGTGTTGCATTGCTGGCCGTCTGGGTGAATGCTTTAGTCTCCCATAAGCAGAGGCCAGGGCTAGTATCCTAATGTGCAAGAGAAGATAAATACTTGTAATCTCCTCCCTGTCAGCAAGCATTTGCTGTTGTCTGGCCAGGGTGCTCCAGTGTTTGCTCAGCAGCCTTCAAGGGAAGCAAATCCAGCATGCCCGGAGACCCTGATTAACTACACACACACAAACAGTTGATTGCCTAGTGGCAGAATAGCTCAGCAACCGTTCTATTACCAATAAAATGGGATGTTTCAGTTCTCAGACTAGCATAGTCCTGCAGATGACATGGGGATCTGGTCACTGCTTTGGGAAATTTTTGAAGAAATCCCTTATCCAGCAAAGATCAAGAGCAGTGAAAGGAAGCTGTAATTATGCTGTTCTCAGTTAATTACCTCTGCAATCCGCATCTTTAGCTGAGGTCGCCTTGAGTATGCAGATGTCGCCATATTGTAATTACCTTTATTTTGGTTTCCTCTCTCCTTGCCTTTTATTGAGTGGTACCTATCCTGCTTTATTCAGAGAAGGCGTGGAGGCTTCTCTTGGGCGGCATGGTGGCGCAGTGGGTAGCACTGTGGCCTTCCACTTAGAAGGCTGTCAGTTTGAGGCTTGCCGGTGACCTTCCTCCGGGTACTCCGCTTTCCCCCACAATCCCAAAAACATGGAGTTAGGTTAATTGAATAATCTAAATTCCCCTTAGGTATGAAGGTGTGAGTGTGTGTTGCCCTGCAATGGATAGGCACCAACAGACCCTTGTGACCCCGAAAGGGAATAAGCGGGTTGGAAAATGAATGAATGAATGGAGGCTTCTCCCTAAAGTAGCTTAGTTTTATTGGTTTCATGAATTGGTTGTACATCTAGTGAGCCCACCAAAAATGCAAATGGTTTCTACCTGGCAACCTGTAATCATCAACTGACATCCACTCATTATTGCTTGATATGATTACTTTTGGGTGAGCACGTTTTCCTTCACTTGTGAGAGAGAAGATCAAGGATAGATGGTGGGTAGGTTATGGATAAGAGTTTGATCTTTTGACATAAATAAACTTATAAAACGTAAAAAACTGGCATTTTCAAAATTTCAACAAATGTTTTCTTTTGTCTTTGAAACAAGATTTCATATCTGAGGAACTGAGCTTTGTATTTCAGTGGGTTCCTTGAGAAATCTGTGCATTGACCAACTTCAATGTGGATATTGGTTCACCAGTTGCTCTACGTTACTGGAACTCTTATTTTCGTCCACCTAAAAGAAGAGGACAATGTGGTGTAGGCTCAAGAAATGAGAGATTGGAATAGATCTGACTAGTGGCCGAGTGGTTAAGCCAATGGACTGCCAATCCATTGTGCCCCACATGTGTGGGGTTTGAATCCCATCCTCATCTCATTTTTAAATTCATTGTGGAAATCAGTTTTCTACATGTTCTCATTTGACTTCAACCCACTTGTTGTGTAGGCTCAAGATAAAGAGAAATTGGCATAAAGAGTTTCGAGGTGGCTGAGTGGTTAAGAAATCCCAATGGTGGAAACTATTTGGAAATGAAGCTTTAGTTTTATCACCTGAAAAGAGCAGATTATTCATTTCTGCTGTAGAAAAAGTGCAGAAAAGTGAGACCTTTATAGAGCCATTGGAAATAAAACTATAATGGACTCTTTTGGCCAAATGGAGGATTTGGAATGGAACTAGTGAATTGCGTAGCATTGTAGCAAAATAGAACATCTAGTTATTCAACCCAAACTATGTTACGAACCCATAATAAATCGTTTGAATGGCACTAAAGAATGCATGGACGAGAAAAGCTTGATGTCTTTTTTAACTTCATGTGAAAGTGGAAAATTATGTGGAGTCCTACTGTCAGAAACGCACAGATATTCTGAAGATAATTGCACCCTGATGCAAGGTGGATGTGAACGAGCGAGTTGCTTGATCGAAGGGAGTTCAAGATCAAGCTTAACTGATACTCAAATTCTGTCCTTTTCTCAGGAACGTTTTTTTTTTCATTTGATTGTCAACAGATGATTTCTGTTTCTTGAATTTGTTTGTTGTCATTTTTAGAGCCAAGAGCAGATCTTTGGGTGATGAAGATTGTCAGACTCACATCAAACTTTGAAGCTATGCTGTAAGTGAAAAAATGACACGTTGTGACCTAACTAATTGCTTCCAATTGGGTTTTCCAAGTAAAACTTATTTTATTCAAATCAAAAATAATTACTACATAATAAATAATAATTATATTCCAACAAAAACCACAAGTTATTATATTGCCTTAAATGAAGCCTGTTATCTGCAGAAATGATTCTTATGCCAATTTCTCAGTCCTCTTTTTATGTGTTTGCAGCTGCAAGAGAGCCGTTAATTCATCCGCAATTAAAGTATTGATTCACAAGCGTGGGAGGATGAATTTCCTGACTGAACAGAGACGCACACAGTCCAGACTACACAATTGTGATCACTGAACAGAACCCTAATAAGAAACTGCAATTACACAAAATGCTCACATATATAGTTTTCACACATGAGTCTTGTGCTTAATCACACAGCCCTCTCTGATTAATCCACAGCATGTTTTATTCCTGGCTATTTTTCAAACACAACACAGCATTCTTACTCCTGGTGCTTCTCGCGTTAGTGCTCCGTGAGTCATTTATCAGTTCTTACGATCTATTGCGCATGTAGGCATACAACCATGCTTTTACAAGTTAATGAAAACAGATCATTTAGAAAAGGTCTCAACTCACATTCTGCTATGTGTTTGGTTTAAGATGTGCCATTAATGTATGAAATATAGACATACGTGCTCCACTCTCCCATTGATTGAGAATGGTAAAAGGTGCTGAAACTTTGATCATTATCTCACCAAAAACGCTTTAAATTGGTTTCAAGCAAAACATTATGTGTCGTAATAAAGGTTAGAGTAAAGGAGTGCTTAAAGAAATAAAGTTTATAAAGGAAACTGCTTCCAGTTCCCACATTATTTCTTTTAGGATTTTGGTTTCATGTTGGTGTTCGTAATCCGGTGTTTTCATATTGGTTTTAGCAAGGTAAGGTATCACATTTGTGTACATATTATTTTGCATTTATTTTATTCTGTTTTTGTTGTTTTATTATCATTTATTACAATAACAATGTGTAGAATTAACGATTGAAGAAAAGTTTTTCTCTGGTTTTCTGAGAGCCACCCTGGAACAGATTAATTTCGTATTCTGAGGTATCACTGTATTAAGATCAAACTATTTTCTTGAAGACAACACAAAGAGCCTGGAGCTGGGCTGGAATCTTTGTCTTGATGGGTTGGAGTCCTTCAGGTTTTAGTTCCAACTCTGCTTCAACACACTGTGAAAACCCAATGTGTATTTAACTGAAGTGATAAGCTATGTTTCAAAAAGTCTGAAGCTGAACTGTGAGAGGCTCCAGAAGCTTTAGCCTAGAACATTACCAGTGCAAATATACCCGGTCATTCCCAGTCTAAACTTTAACCATTACACAGCTGAAGAAACATCTTTCAAAAGAGACGACCCATTTCATGTGTACATCTTGGACTTTTTCTGTGCACTCGTCTGAAGCGATGCAATGACCTAAATCCATCCGGAAAACGGTGTACTCGGCCGTGTGCAGTGAATTGAACTACATTTTACGATGAAAAGAAGTAACTCACTGAGAACTTCCACTGTTCCATTCTTAACTTGTACGTGGAACTATAAAGGAGTTCTCTGAGTCCTTACTGGGTATTTATTTTGATTTTATTGTCGTTATTTTACTTATGAATTATTGCATGATTTGCAAAACCAAACTATCAAAATAAAAGCCCACATCCTGTGAAATGAGAGATAGGTGAGGCCTGAGGGAATATACACAGCAGTGCAACTGTTCTGTTGGCTGGCGTGACAGAGGTGCCATTCCAAACTCTGATTGGCATCATCTACGAGCAGATGGTGGAGGCGTGGAATCCAAAATTGGCTCCCAGAACACAGCATGGCTCTTCAACAGAAACTGTAAACTAAAGAATGTTCAAATTTAAATGAGAAGCTTTGTCTGGAAAGTGCTACAACAGATTTCTGTGATAAAATAGCATTGCAAGATTGTGTTTGTTTGTGATAATATCCTGATACTAAAATATTATTTGACAATGCATTTAGAAGATTTTGAGCGAGGAGGATCATCTGAGAGGAGGCTTTTCTTACACTTGCGTGGGCTTTCTCCGTTTTGTTCCGCAGAGCAAAAACATGAAACTAAATCCCAAATCAACAAATAATTATTAAACAAGGTCCACAGAAATGTTAACGATTTTTTTTGTTTGCTCAAAACATTTCATAGTTATATAAAGAATTAGGTTTTATTTGTTTAGTCAGAATGAGAGTAATCTTAAACAAACATGTAGTGTGATGTCGCTGATCGCTTGCAGAAACCCTCTTTGCAAAGGTTTAGAAGTGTGGTTACTGGGATTTAGCTTTACATTTATGCATCTGACCAGCTTTGCGTTGTACTGGAGGCTGTGAAGTTCTCTGCTCATTAATCTGAAAGCTACCTGAAGTTTGGAGGGAGTGACCTTTGTGCATTATAAGCCTCGGCATCTGCTGATCCTGCGTCGCTGACCACCTCGCGACTGAGTAGCTGTCGCTCCCAATTGCATTCACAGACTTTTCACTACTGGTGCTGTCCTGAGAGCCTCCCTTTCACTAATGCAGCCTGTAAACATGGAACTGAAAACATCTCACTTCCAGTATAAGGATGTTACTGAAGATTTTTACAATTTTTTTGCTGAAGAAAATGTGCTTTTGTATTATTGCTATACTGTATATGAATATATTGACAAAAACACATATTGTACATTTTTTCGTACTTTTCTTCTTAAAACTGTGATCCACACATGCTGACTTCTTAATCCTGCTGTTTAATTAAAGGGGATTTAACAATTTTTTGTGCTGGAACTTTTTTGATTCATGTAAATATTTTTGTAATTCATTTTTTTATAGTCAGCAATAGTTTAACTTTAAATTAACTGTGTTTCCACATAGAAGCATGACAAAGATCAGGTGACCAGCGGCAGAGCCTAAGGGCTTTTTGAAACCAAGAGAGTTCCCTGGAAAAGCACACTTTGATATTGTAACTGCTAGTGATCTCAGTAGTTTCCACTACCTACACGCAAAGTACGCAGTCGAGCACCGACTGCCAGAGGGGGGCACCATTATCCCGTTTTCTCTCTAGAAAAAAAGAGCTTTATTATTAAACAAATGTTAATAGTAATGTATTAATAATACATTTTCTATTGGCATATGCTTATATCTATGTTATTATCATATTAATACATATTTTTTATTTGTAAATTTACATAAATATGAGCTGAATGCCATCATAAAAATACGCAACACTTCTGATGTACTAACGGCACTGAACGAGATATGCTTGACTTTCATCGAGATGTAATGTCAACATATTGTTTTGTATCTTTTGTACACAGTCTGTTCATATCTGTTAACATGAAATTTTTAATTGTGGTTCCATGAGTTGAATCTATGAAGATGACTTGTTTATCGTGCTTTGAGTTCATATCCAATAGAAATTCCACGTTTTTCTATTGGAAATGATCAAAAACTCTATTTTTTTTACTAATTTTAAGAATATTTTATTGTCGTATTTTCTTTTTATTCCATAATGCACTTGTTTTTTTTTCTTTTGTAAAAGCACAATGACTGTATTTGTGTATTGGGCTAATTGTCAGTTTTGACTTTGTGACAAATCATTACAGTAAGTATTACTGTCAGAATCCCCAAAAAAGCAATATTTTACACAAATAATCCACACGAAATAAACACTTGCTCTCACCAATTCTGCTTTTATTTATAAACTTCATATTTAACGCAACTCAAGAGATTCTGCCATAATCGAGCAGCATTTTTTTCCCAAGAAATTATTTTTAGAAGAGAGAATTCAGCTGCATGGGCGTTGCAGAGGGTAGCACTGTGGCATTCCAGTGAGAAGGTTGCTGGTTTGAGGCTCACCGATGACCTTCCTGGAAAAGTTTGCAACTTTGCATGTTCTTGCGTGAGTTTGGGTACTCCAGCTTCTCCCAAAACATGCATCAGGTTAATTGAATGATCTAAATTCCTCCAGGAGCGAATGTGTGTGTTGCCCTGTGATTGTTGACCGGTCCACAGTGTACCCCTGCCGGCAGTTTGCTTTTGCCATTATTTTATTGATAAGAATTATTTATTTCTTTAGTTTGAACAAACCAGAAGAGAGAGAGAGAGAGAGAGAGAGAGAGAGAGAGAGAGAGAGAGAGAGAGAGAGAGTATTCATAAATCATATTCATTGTGAACCTGAACAGAGATAGAATCTTTAACCACGACAACTAAATCCACAAGGTCCGCTGGTGCCTGTATC